CTGATGTAGTAAGCACTACTTTTTAGAAAAATAAAGTAAAAATCCACGCGGACGAAGTCGCTGTAACAGCTAGTACATAAATAAAAACCGAAACAGCTTACAAAGCAAGCTGCTTGGCAGCTGAAATATGAAATATGTAAGCCTATGGATCTATAAAACAGTCTTAACACTGCACAGCTGGTTTTACATTTATAATTTGCTTACTTAAATCATTCTATTTACCCAGACTTCGAGTTAAAAACTGAATATATTATAATGCAAACAATTTTAAACAGCACTTATCACAGAAACCGGTACTAAATTACTTACACATACATCACTTAACACTAAAAAGTTAAAATTTCTTTTAATTATCACAGCAGTTCTTATCACACGCGTGTTATACCAGGCAGAGCAACCGAAACTATAAAAACTCGTATATGCAATATAACATTACTAAATGGTTGATAACAAATACAAAATATCATTACATAACATAATATATATATCACTAAATATATACGATCAAAATTGAACTATACACACATACATTATGAATCTATATACCATGACAATGTTGTAATCTTACAACGTTTATGAATAATCAACATAGATAAACACTGAAAAACGTATGTACACTCCATAAATAATCGTATCCCTATGACGATACAGTATATTTCCATTTGACAGTGGACGTATAGGAAAACGTTATAGAAACCGCCGATCTGAAGAAATACATAAGTGTGAGGGAGAGAAAGAATAATATGATCTCGACAAGGTCATTGTTTAACACCAATAATAAACATACTAAATATTATATATTTGTATTACGTTTTGTGCAAAACTCGTTATGTTATAGTGTAAACAGAAAAGTGCGGACGGCCGCGAGAAATCGCTATTGTTTTAGTTAAATACAAATATAGACATAGATACACATAGATGGCGCGAGATAATCAATCTATTAGATATATCCACAATAACATACATAGATATATGTTTATCTAGTACTAAAAACATAATCACATTTAAATATAGGTAAATTTTGACCGATTTTTGCGTACGTCTAAAAATCTCGTAACTGTTCGAGGATACAGTTAGCTTGATATATATATGATCTTGGATTAACAATATTTATTTTGTGATAATTTCCCAAAACTGACTTTAATACTATCCATACAAAAATGTCTAATGGAATATTTAAGAATCGAGGAAATTTCTTTCAGTAAGCAAACCCCTTTAAAAATATTACGAGCAATTCTGTTTTTCTGTTGAATAACTTGACATTTTCCTGTAGGCAAGTTTCGGTTTTACTTCTTACTAAATTCTTACTGTATGATGCCCATATCATTCTATACCGATGATGAAATGATGTCCACAGTAATATTTCATCATTTTATCACATCACCAATGACAAATAATGTATGTTAAACGAAATAGAAATGGAAATAGTCTTTATTAAAATAAACTTAATAAAATCACTTTTGAAATCATATTTTTATGATTCCACCGCTCATTCGGAAAGCAGACTCATCACAAGAAGAATGAGAAAGAACCTTGCCTGTTGGTCTTTTAAATAAAATACACAGTAACAAGAAGGAGGCATGTGATAATCAACATAGATTCATCACTACACACTCATTCTCTGTGCAATCAGATAATATTGTCAACAGACAATTTTAAGTTTTGTCTTCATAAACTGATGAATTTCTCTCATCAGGAATCTTCTTCGTTTGTGGTTGGATTCGATTGTTCGAGTTTAAAACTCTACTTTAAAAATCGAATAAATATTATAGACATTACTGGCAGTGGCGTAGTTTTTTTTATTATAATGGAATGGTGCACCCGCCTGCGCTAACGGTTTACGCTGGCGGGGACCAGTGGAAGATGATAAGATGAGCATGAGGTCAGGTCAGTTAGCCCATCGTGACAAATTCATCAGTAATTTATCACGATGGTTTCCAGGGGGAACCGCGTGGAGGTCAACCTGACATGGTACATTGCTACACAATGAGCTACAGTATACAATGACATCATCAGTCCACATTACTAACAATCCCCTTTCCCTCCAGCAGTGGAGTAGTTAGGTAACCAAGGTCCCAAAAATGGGACCCCATTTTTTGATTTGTCCCAGGGTCCATTGCTCACCAGTGAGGCCTACATTACAGTTTTATTAAAACGCACATATCCGTCAGCACGCAATCCGTAAAATTGACAACACTCCCAACCCACAGAAAGAATTTAGGAGAATTCCGAAGGTATAACTTTCGTATTTCGACGGCCTCGGTGGTCTAGCGGTTTAGCACACCGCCTTACTACCGATGGTCGCGGGTTCGATTCCTCGGACGCACAAACATTTGTATTCATGAATATGATTGTTTGTATCGGTCTGGGTGTTTTCTATAAATATGTATGTATTTACGAAAAAAAAATATCTATGTATTTGTATCAGTTGTCTAGTACCCATAACACAAGATTTAGCTAGCTTAACTTGGGTCTAGATGGCGCTGTGTGAATTGTCCTGAGATTATTATATATATATATATTTCTCGCATTAGTTGCCATGATTAAAGTCAGGGTTGTAACCTATCATATTTATTTTGAAAAATATATATTCAAAAGTTCAGTTCTATCGAGTTTTTCTGGTAAGGGTTCGAGGGCCCCATGAGCTTGAGGGCCCCGGGGCACTGCCCCGCCTAAGTAGCTACGCCACTGAATACTGGAGTTTTTACCAACAAAGTTCCTATCTGGTGAACCTCCACGTGGAAATGATCGTAGATCATGGTAATTTCCCCATGATAGGCTGACTGACCTAACTTCATGCTCATCCTATCATCCTTCACTAGGATCGTATCTTTAGTAGGTGCATACCGTTAGTGCACTCGAATGCTCCATTCTATAAATATCCATTAAAAACACGAATATTTCTCCTTAGCAAGTACTATGACGAGGTCGAGTGGAATGAGCAGTCATGGTCACTAAAATGTCCAGACATGCGGCGGCGTGGTGGCCCGGGTCATTGGGGTTCCTAAAAATTGGTCGAGCGCCGTGATGGCTGGCTCATCCGTCATACTCGTGAACGAGTGCTGCTTGTAGGGACTGGTCTACTCTTATCACTACGACTGATTTAATCTCATTGTATATGTATATTTGACCCAAAAAAATTAGTGCTGGTTGGTAGTTTGTATTCACACGTTTCGACTTGTAAAATGTGAACTTACAAGGATTATTTAAAAGAGCAACACACAAGTTTCTTGCTCGTTCTTCTTGTGATAAGACAGCTTTCCGAATGAGCGGTAGATTAAAAAAATGTGATGACTATTCAAAAGTGCTTCAATGTAAGTTTATTTGAATAAATGATTTTCTATTCTATTCTATTCTATACGTAATAAGGATAAAGGCTTTAAGAAATATATAAGATTATGAATAGAAGAAAGCATCCAGAAAGTCCTCTAATTAAAACTAAGAATCCTGCAATTCTCCTGACGGGTCTAGGTAGCGAACTTTGAAAAGGGCGAGCACAATATGTAGATGTATGCAGATCAGCACAATAGATCTATACAGGTGGCAGTAGAAATAGAAATAGAAATAATCTTTATTCAAATAAACTCATTACAAGCACTTTTGAATAGTCATATTTTGATTCTACCACTCATTCGGAATGCAGATTCATCACAAGAAGAATGAGCAAGAAACTTGTGTGTTGCTCTGTTTAATAGATGTTTTTTTGTATAAATAATTACAGTACAACAAGTAAGAGGCATGCGATAATCAACATAGAAATCGCTACGCACTCATTATTAGTGTAATCAGATAATATTGTCAGTGCTATGGATTTTAAGTTTTTCTATAAAAACATTATTATCGTTAACGAATTCTTCAATTTTATAGTAAGCTTTTTTGCAAAGGAACTGTTTTATTTGACATTTAAATCTTTTTTCTGGCAGATTTATAACAGACTCTGGTATTTTATTGTAAAACCTTACGCAATTGCCATAAAACGAATTACTAACTTTAGCCAAACGACATTTAGGTAAAATCAGTTTGTTATTGTTACGTAAGCTTTTATTGGTGCAATCACTAACTCTTTTGAAACTGTCTATATTATTCCTGACTGTGCTACAGGTCTTAGTACCTGACAATAGCCTACAACCCTCAATAAAAAAAATGATTGCAAAGGTCCGTAAGAACAATATTACTTAATATAACTGCATGCTTAACACGTTGAAGACCGCACTCAAAAACATATAGGGACTGGCATTGTATTATTGTTAATTACGTATACAATATTTAAATATGTTATCATTGTACAGTAATGTGATTATCTACCCTCGATGATCTAGCGGATTAGCACACCGCCTTACTTTCCTCGCACGGCACAAACACTTGTATTCATGAGTATGATTGTTTGTATCGGTCTGAGTGTTTTCTATGTATTTACGAAAAAAATCTATGTATTTGTATCAGCTATCTAGTACTCATAACTCGAGCTTTAGATAGCTTAACTTGGGACTAGATGGCGCCCTGTGAATTGTCCTGAGCTACTTACATATATATATATATTATTATTATTTAACCCCTAGATTTATTTCAGTGTGAATTGTCCTGAGCTTATTATTATTCATCATCATCATATATATTTATCGTCGTAATATGTTTTTCTCTTTTTCTTTTTCTCTTCCATTCATCTCTGTTCGCAGTCATCGCGTTATTTACTTCCTTTCTTACCATATCATCTTTCACACAGTCCATCCATCTCTTTTTCGGCCTTCCTCTGCTCTTATAACCATCCACATTCATATGTAACACCTTTCTTAAAAGGTGTTACAGCTTATTATTATTATTATATATATATTATTTAACCCCTAGATTTATTTCATCCCAACGTGTAAATTTACTTTCGTTGCGGGGTGACCCACCGGTGAGCATGCGGCCTTTAACATGTTAGTATGTTGCGCATAAATTAGGCAAATAGACGACATTTAATTTTTTTTTAAAGACATAAATAAATAAGAAATGCATACCTCTTCCTCGAGTGCGACTGGAAATTGTGTCAGAGGCTTCACAGCGCAGTCTTCTAATGCTGATTTTCGTCTGAAAAAAAGCAATGAGCTATATATATACATAACAGCATCTATCTATATCTATATATATAACTATCTATATCTATATATATCTATGTCCATATATCTGTCTATTCCATTAACATCCATTAAAAAAAAACGTAGTTTTTTGGTGTATCTGCCTTTCTCTTTACCTATATATATATATATATATATAACGTGATAACGTGATATATATACGTGATAACGTGATGTCTGTAATACTGTTGATGTATATAGGTGATGTTTAAAGCTTAAATTCCGTTTCAGGCAGAGCGTTGACTTGTTTAAACTGCGAATTACGAGTCATGAAATCATCTGACTTTTTTATTCAACTGTCGGTAAAGAAATGATCTTACCTCAGCAGTATTATCTTGAAAACTGGACCAACCAATCCTTTGATAATTGCCGACGCGTTGAGATGACATCTTCCATGCAGTACTATGCCGTTCACCTGAAATAAACATAATAGTAATAAAGATAATTTACACAGCTAGTCTAAATATATATAACTCAAAGGTGACTGATATAGTGATCTATCAACACACAGCCCAACCCACTGGACAGATCCGGCTGAAATTTGGCATGCGGCAGGTAGATGTTATGACGTAGGCATCCGCTAAGGAAGAATTTTGATTAATTCTATCCCCAACGGGATAAAATATGGGATGAAAATTTGTATGAAAAAAATATCTATTAATATGTATCAGTTATCTAGTACTCATAACACAAGCTTTAGCTAGCTTAACTTGGGTCTAGATGGCGCTGTGTGAATTGTCCTGAGATTATTATTATTATTATATTTTTTTTTCTCAGCTTTTGCTGGTTTTCTAAGTGTGGTCTTATTATTATTATTATTATATAATATTCATGGAATTTTAAAAAAAAATTTTAAAAAATTATATAATATCAATGGTCGAGTGCAATGATGGCTGGCCCATCCGGTATACTGGTGAACGGGTGCTGCTTGTGGACTGGTCTGTTCGGGTTACAAACACGGGTTAGACTATTGGCTTTTGACAAAATTGCAATAGCATATGCTGGTGGTCACTCTATTCTCCCAAATTTGAATTTAAAAATGAATCTGTTATTGTACACATGTATGTACAACCTTATTTGAAACAGTGCCTGCGACTTCGTCCGCGTGGAATATAACTTTATTTTTCTAAAATAAAAGTACCCTTATTATATGAGCTACCTGCCAAAAAAAGTCCCGTCAAAATCGGTCCAGCCAGTAAAAAATGTTATCTTGATAAAAAAACGGTTAATTCAATATTACAAACAGACATTCCAATTTTATTTATATGTATAAATGAATACGAGCTGTTTCTTGTTAGTTCTTCTCATCTCGAAATCATACCGAACTGACGGTAGATTTGACATATCATAAGAGTATATAATAGACCTACATGAATAAAGATATTTTGATTTAGGTTTTTTTTACTTGATGAATGATCCTCTTCCTCATAGCGTGCAATATATTAAAGCGCGAGGAAACAATGGCTGTGAACGAGTCTATAGGCAGGCACGTAAAATATACGCAGAACTATAATGTTTCAATCAAAACCAACATTAAAACGGGAATAGTTCCAGTTACTTCACGAGCCAAATTAAGGGCGAACAGTTGTTAGCGAGCGTAGCGGACGCGGAGGCGGATTTGGATATCATCTATTCATATGTATATTTAGATAGATTAACAGCTGGTTTTAACTGACGATAATATATAATACTAGCTGTCCCGGCAAACGTTGTTTTGCCCTAAAATAAAAAAAAAATTAGGGGTGGATTACCCTTTAACATTTAGGGGGATGAAAAATAGATGTAGGCCGATTCTCAGACCTACTCAATACGCTCATAAAATTTCATGAGAATCAGTCAAGCCGTTTCGGAGGAGTATGGGAACGAAAACTGTGACACGAGATTTTTATATATAAGACGAGAATTTTATATATAAGATAAAATCTGTTTATATTGCTCGGCTCAGTCACGGTGGACTAACGGTTTAGCAGACAGGTTTACATCCGAAAGTAGCGGGTCCAATACCTAGAGCGGTACAAAAGTTTGTCTTAGGTATGGTAGATTGTTCAATACAAGCAACCATAATCAGAACAAATGTTTGGACAGTTATACAACACACACACACAGGCACACACACACAACCATAAAAGTATAAACAAATTCATCATATAAGATACTAAAATATAAAGAGAATTACAACTATATTATCTGAAATCTTATTGGAAGCTATAAATAATGTCTTGAAATAAACAATTAGTATAATCACTGCATAATGTAATGATCATAGATAGATAGAAAATTCTATATTCACAATTACAGACACACAACATATATAGATACAGAAACAACACGAATAATAAATCAATATATGACTTTATGTGATACCACTCCTAAGTGAAAAGGCAGCCAACTCAGCATAATGCTTACAGATAACTCTGCAGCCTGTATTCTATGACTGCTTACTTATACTATGCTTATTACTAAGAAAATAACATAAATATTAAACTTCGAGCTCTTTATCAAATATATAAAGTATGAATAAACTGTAAATAATGTGATGAATTATTATTAAACTACTTATACTACCTAAATACTATAACAATTTATTTACACATATATTAACGATATGGTGAAAGACTCCGCAAGACTGATGATGACGAAGATATGCAGACAATGCTTCCTAAGTTGGCCGTAAGCCAGATAATAAAGCTCTCAGATACTATCTAAATCCTGTAATTATGCAGTAGTAGATATTTTTTTATTGTTTTTCAATTCAGGTTTCCAATGTTGTGTCCTCATATATATTTAAATAACTTGAATGGGTATATAATGTTTTAATTGCATTCAAGATATCTTTTTATACAAACAAAAGGAGTAAAAATTAAATAGTCAAAAATGTAGAAATTGTAATAATTGAATAACCATTGTGGAAGGAAATAACATCTGTAACACAGGAATTCCTTAGAACAGATTTACGAATAAATTAGTGTCGTTGTGTAAAAATGAATAAATATATTAAAAAAATATATATATAGTACAATGTATATTAGATATTTCTGGCTATATTAAATTGCAAAAAAAATAGTAGTATAGTAGTAGTTTTGTCTGCAAACGTCATAACAAAATTTTGCTATATATATATATATATATAAAAAAGGCAAACGTGGTTTTGCAATATAAATTAATAACGCTATAAAAAAATAGTTTGATGATGAAGGGTAAAATTTAGGATTGTAGGTATTTTTGTATGTTGTATCATAAAAAAATACAAACTAAAAATTTTAGTCTAAAAAATAAAAAAAAATTTGTGTGACAATCATTTTTAGATGTTGGCCGATTCTCAGACCTACTCAAAACGCTCACAAAATTTCATGAAGAATGTAAGTTTCGGAGTTGGGAACGACTGTGACACGAGAATTTTATATATAAGATATATACAAACATCAATACGGTCAAAGCTAGTGATACCACTCCTGCGTTGCCATTCGAGGGACTATATTACATGCCTCTTATCCTGTAATATGACTGCTAAATGATTAATTGATTACTTTTGTATACAGCTTACAAACCAAGCTGCTTTTTGATAAATCAAGAGACAGAGGTAACCAAGCAGACATCTTTCTACCTATGGTAGTAGTCAGTGAAATTATTATTTCCGATTTAACGCCATAACTCTCAGTCACGACCGCTACATTCCTCACTTGATTTTTCCAGAATACTAAAATGATACAGTCTAATTCATGTTAATATATGCAAATACGTGAGCTATTGTTTCTTTATGTACAATTCTGGTTTCCAACATTTGTGACTCCATTGTACCGACTAATGGCGAGCGTAGTTTCAAGATAAAAACTAACACAAATGGACATACATTTGAAATAGTCTAAAAATGAGAACTATTATAATAATAATAATATGAAAAGCAAACACTTTGTACAACTTTACGACAATTAAGTGAATGGTCGTGTATGAAAAGAATAGCTAAAGTACAGGCTGTTACATAAGAGCGTGGCCAGTGTTAAATAATAGCAGGTATAGATTTTTTAAAACGCACAATAATTGTTTAATTTGCTGTCAATATAAATTGGATATATGGAAAGAATTATAAAGATAAATTAAAAATGAAGATATATAGCCTTACAATTCACACGTTTTACCTAGTACCCAAATTGTAAAGCTCTCTTTAGCTTTAGATTTACTGTGTGAATTGACTTGGATTAACGATATTTGCCATTCCGGTTATTAAAAAAAATACTTTCACGGTTTTGAAGAACCATGTAGTTTAGGAGTTGGGAGACTAGAAATCGATGGACTGAATACATCGGACGTGAATATAACAATAGACTGGACCCTTCGGATTGATGCCACAAAAAGTATATCAGTCTTATGATTAATGATTAGGAGGAAGCGTACAAAAACAACATTTTTGGTAACATCAAGTTAGACTAGGCGAATGAACGCTTACTATATTAATAATAATGATAAATTTGGTGATTTTCACCCCCAAAGCCTAGTCTACCATCCCATCATTAAGGAGAATACTAAAATGAATTGCAAATTAATAATAACAATAAGAATATGATAAATACACAGCTCAAGAAACAAGTTTTCTTCTTTTCAATGGCAAGTAATATTGCGACGACTTTTGCGCATTCTGTCGCATTTTTTAGATCTTGCTTTGTGCAGGATGATGGGCACAAAGGACAGGCAATAGATGGGCCATAGCCTGGGATGGCGCGTCGCAGTCGCAAGTCTCCCTTGAAGCGACACCCCATTTTACCAAGTGTACCTGAAAAGCTCTATCCATCTAGGTATAATCAATGAGAAAGCGATTTCCAAGTGGGTCATTGCAGGTGATTAGAATTTAGAATTTGCGCAGTGCGTGCATAGTCATATTAATAATAATAGTCTCACACACCTGTTTTTTAGAATAGAAGGAAGTGGAATGAGAAGGATATCTGAGAAGGAGGTTGTTAACATATAGCTACTGTTCTTCCGAGAAATGTGAAACTGTCTTTTAGATAATCAGGAGTGTGGGGGTTAAAGAGAATTATCTACTTTTTTATATTACTGTGTCTTGTCTTTATGTGCCTTTAACGCAAATAACAGTTTTATCTATGTATCTATAAAGATATTTGGAATTTCTTAGTCTGTGTGACCCGTAACTCTAAATAGCGAATAATTTCGTGAACATGAAATAAATTATACTATTTATTTTACTATCATTATACTGCCCCTCTTATCGATCCCCGTCCAATTCAAACGGGGATCGAAATTACGACGACCTGAGCCGCGGTTCCAACCCCTAGCGGTGCTCTCAGACTAAAGTCGTATCCGTCAGGCGGGAGTTGGCTAGCCGCTCCATAAGTCCTTCCTTTGATTTGGAGTGCTATCTGCACTCCCCCCTATCGTCCAGTGAACCTGTAAAGGCCAGCTACGGCCAACAGCAGTAGAGTAGTCCGAAAAATAAACTATTTATTTAAACCTTCATCAGTGTACAGGTTGATGCAGTCATGACTCCCAAACTGACGTGAGCCGGCATAGCAGGAGTCAGTCAGTGTATAAGTCCAGATATAACTTCACGACTACTATCTAAATTGGGCAGCCAGAGGTTATGCTGACATCCCGTTTATTACTTTTTAATCCCACGTTCAGGAGTCAGTCTTCTTCGGTCGCACGAATTTGTTCAGTGGGTTGTTATTAATGTTTTAATTACCGGAGAATCTTTTTTATTTAACAAAAAGGAGCCAAAATTATGTCCCTAATGTAGACATGTAGGACATTTTAGCCGAACTTTGTATTTTTTTCCCTACCGTCCAGTTCGGTAGAACCAATTGAGAAGAACTGGCATGAAACTCAATTGAATAACTTTTTTTTAAAAGCCAGTTTATTTACAATGTATATTTATATAGGTGTCTATATCTAACATTAAATGAAAATCCAGTGCATGAACAACTATTGCCATGCACGCTCGTCATTCAAGTAATCATTTGCTCAGTAAATATGATTTATATATAAAACACATAGTGGTCAATATATGATTAAGTATTTATTATTAGTTTATTTGTTTTATTTGTATGTCTGTTTATTTGTTCTTGCTAATCACTAAAATAAGACGGGGTAACGGTTTGTATGTCAGATATAAATTTCAGACAATCATTTTCTATGCAGACAGATTTGAACCCACGACATTGGGTGTAAGTCGGGTTGTAAGTCACTGTACCACAACGGTCTCAATTATACTGATATCAATGAGATGAATATACAATTTTGTTTACGATATTGTTTTTGGATTGGCTCCAAGTTGGTAAGTCAAGTTGATTGCTTTTGTATCGTTACAATGACTCTTGTAGGGCGACCTTTGTAGGACGAATTGAGTATAAATTACAAAATCAATAGTATTTCTTTGTCCCATTCAATATTGAATGAATACAATTCACGATACGACGCCATAATGTACGAATTTTGTATTCATCTGATTTTTATAATACTAGCTGTGACCCGCGAATTCGCCTGTACATACTATAATGCGCCGTTTCTTCCCCTTGTAGATATAATTGTAGCCTATGTCTATTAGTGAGCCTATCATTACGTTAATTTCAAGAATATTCGTTCGGCCGTTGAATCTTGATAAAGTAACATATATACAGACATTATTTAATAAAAATTTTAACGAAAACGATTGTCCAAGTAAAGAAATATTTAAATTTAAATTGAAAAGATGGTTACTCAAAAAAATGCATTAGTATAAGTTCTATATTATAGTTAAATTATAAATTAAGTATAAGTAAAAATTCGTCAACAAACTGCAAAACAGTTTGGCGATATTTGTAAAAATAAATTGTATATATGTAATACTTATAAATAAATTAAAAAAAATATATATTGTCAATTACAATTTTAACTTTAGGCTAAACAAAGGTCAACGTTTCGAGTAGGTTGCACTAGCCGTGGTCACGAGCTGACTGGAGTAGATTGACTGGATTCACGAGGTGCTGGAGGTACGAGTGCAACCTAGTTGAAACGACGAGATAAGTACCTTTATTTACCATAAAATTATTTCTGTTAAGTCTCGGTTAACAATATAAATAATACACACAGACAAACATAAAGTTTGGCATTTATAATATTAGTATGCATATATATATATATATATAACTACCAGATACCCATCTTGGTAATCCCCAAATTTTGCTAATAACATCCCAAAAATGAGGTTTTAGGTATTGAATAAAAATCCCCCTAATAAAAAAGTTAGACACCACTTCTATTATAGTTTTGTATATTTGAACCCGCGATCATCTGAAGTAAGCATGTACTAATCCACAGAGGTAGTCGTAATGAAAAAAGGGAATAGGCTAGGATAAGAGAGATAGCTCTCATTATCTTCAAAATTTCGTCGCCAATTTTAACAAAGGGTAAATGAAAAAACTTATCCACCGAGGTAGTCGTAATGAAAAAAGGGAATAGGCTAGGATAAGAGAGATAGCTCTCATTACCTTCAAAATTTCGTCGCCAATTTTAACAAAGGGTAAATGAAAAAAGGTATATTCAAAGAGAGAGAGTTTACCTCCAAAATTTCATCCCCAACTTTAACGGGAGGTGAGGCCTTAGCAGCGCCTCCTGCCGGGTGAAGACCACAAATGAACACGGCCATGCGGCTCCTGTCCCTGTGTCCAGCCAGGCTGAGCCCCAGACCAGCTTTCTGGGTCCTCTCCAACTTGACAGCCACCACGCTGTCTCCAAGGTTTGCGTACTTCTTGCGGATTTTATCTGCAAAGAAATGTTTCAGATTACTTTTTATTACAATTCAGGATGCTATCAGGATGTCATGCTCACTATAATTTTCAGACATGTGGCGGCGTGGTGGGCTGGGTTATTGGGCTCCCTAAAATATGGTCGAGCGCAGTGATGGCTGGCTCATCCGTCATACTTGTGAACGAGTGCTGCTTGTAGGGACTGGTCTGCTCTTCTCACTACGACTGATTTAATCTTATTGTATATTTATATTTGACCCTAATAAATTAGTGCTGGTTGGTAGTTTGTATTCACACGTTTCGACTTGTAAACGTAATCTTACAAGGATTATTTAAAAGAGCAACACACAAGTTTCTTGCTCGTTCTTCTTGTAATGAGACAGTTTTCCTAATGAGCGGTAGATTAAAAAAACATTGTTATGACTATTCAAAAGTGCTTAAATTAAGTTTATTTGAATAAATTATTTGATAGAAATAATCTTTATTCAAATAAACTTAATATAAGCACTTTTGAATAGTCAAGTTTTTTTTAAGTGGGTGCGAGAGGCATACCAGCGAAATCTCTCTACAATATTCTAAAAGATTTTGGCCTGTCTAGAACTGCAATAGAAATAGAAATAATCTTTATTCAAATAAACTCATTACAACAACTTTTGAATAGTCATATATTGATTCTACCACTCATTCGGAATGCAGATTCATCACAAGAAGAATGAGCAAGAAACTTGTGTTGCTCTTTTGAATAGATGTTATTTTAAATAAATAATTACACAATAACAAGTAAGAGGCATGCATAATCAATATAGAAACCAGATAACCCACTCACTCTTAGCGCAATTAGATAATATCATCAGCGATATGACTTTTAAGTTTTTTCTACATAAATATTATTATCATTTAGGAACTCTTCAATTGCATGTATTTACGACAAAAAATCTATATATTTGTATCTGTTGTCTAGTACCTATAATACAAGCTTTAGTTAGTTTAAATTTGATCTAGATGGCGCTGTGTGAATTGTCTTTAGATTATATTCACTTATATTATAAATGTGAAAGTAGGTATGTTCGTGACGCTGTTATGCAAAAACTACTAAACCGATCATCATGAAATTTTGTACACATATTATAAAAAATGGAGGTATAAACCTGAACATAGGATAATTTTTATTAAAATAAACATATATTTTTGATAAAAAAAAAAACTAAAAAATAAAATTTCAACATTTTGCTTTCCAGCGATTATCTAGTAATGAAGTTACAAAACCTCGGGTAAAAGCTAGTCTATGTGAATTGTCCTGTATATATTATTCTTTTTTATTCATCACATTTTGTATTCTCGAATTAAAAAAAAAGGTATAGTCACATTCCCGGGAACTGCTCTGAGTTGTCTTGCCTGCCATATTGTAGCAACATAATTTTATAAATCCCTGAGGCAATCGATTTAAAAACTTATAATCATAACATTACAGCTCAAAATTCGTCTGGGTTTATTAAATAACTATCTGTACTCGCGACTTCATTCGCGTGGAATTTAACTTTATTTTTCTAAAATAAAATATTTTTTCTAAAATAAAAGTAGCCCAAGTTACTCTTTATTACATCAGCTATCTGCCAAAAAAAGTACCGTCAAAATCGGTCAGCCATTTCAGAGATTAGCCGCAACGAACAGTCAGACAAAAATTGTAAAAAATGTTATTTTGGTGTATGTACCGTATATATATTCATATGCATGTAGTAAAAATCGGTTGTCTACCCCTGCTTCCAGAAATATAGAAAAAAAACTTATGTCTATTCTGTATTGTGTTCATATCTGTAACAAAAAATTAATCTGTAAATTACTACGCGTATCTTTTTTCAATAAAATACATGTAAAAATACAAAAGTGGATTTTTGAAGCTTCTATTACTGAATACGGTTATTTCAATATTACAAACAGACACTCCAATTTTATTTATATGTATGTATTTTATTACTAACATAGGATAGGTTATGTTATTAAGCTGTTATTAACAAAATGGATCATGTTGTCTGCAATAACTTATTATTATCTATACATATAAATAAAATTGGAGTGTCTGTTTGTAATATTGAAATAACCGATTTTTACTACATGCATATGAATATATATACGATACATATACCAAAATTCCATTTTTTATAATTTTTGTCTGTCTGTCTGTCGGTCTGTTTGTTTCGGCTAATCCCTGAAATGGCTGGACCGATTTTGACGGGACTTTTTATGACAGGTAGCTGATGTAATAAGGAGTAAGTTAGGCTACTTTTATTTTAGAAAATAAAGTTAAATTCCACGCGGACGAAATCGCGGGAACAACTAGTTATTATATATAATTTACGTAAAAAACATGAACAACTGCAACGAACGCCGCTGACTCTACATTATCCTCATTTTAGGGATAAAACTCAATTTTCCCCGATATAAACCGGCCCTAGACCCTTTTTATATTGTAAATCGACAATAATATATAAAAAGATGAAGACTGTGTTTGAACACGTAAGAAATAGAAATAGAAATAAAAATAATCTTTATTCAAATAAACTCATTACAAGCACTTTTGAATAGTCATATTTTGATTCTACCACTCATTAATGAATGCAGATTCATCACAAGAAGAATGAGCAAGTGCAAACTTGTGTTGCTCTCTTGAATAAATATTTTTTTTAATAAATAATTACACAATAACAAGTAAGAGGCATGCGATAATCAACATAGAAATCGCTACGCACTCATTAGTGTAATCAGATAATATTGTCAGTGCTATGGATTTTAAGTTTTTCTAGAAAATTATTAGAAACGTATTTTGAATGAATTTATCTAAATATAAATATTTATTTAATGAATATATATACGTTATATAAAAAATGAGCATAACTATTCAAAAAATATGACTATATAAAAAGAAACTATCTGGTTCATTGTTCATTTACAAGTTTTGTAAATTAGAAGAATCATAATATATAAAAAGGCAACTTGTGGATAAACAAATAATAATACTTTGTGTTGTAATACCATAAAAATTTAATTGACTATTTTTAAGTTTTTCAATTAATTTGTATTTATTATATAGAAAAAAGAAATAAATAAAAAAAAAATGAAATTCTGTTTGTTAGTCTCGCTAAAACTCGAGATCGGCTGAACCGATTTGGCTAATTTTAGTCTTGAAATATTCGTGGAAGTCCAGGGAAGATTTAAACGGTGATAAATCCTGAATTTCATTTAATATAGTAAAATTAACAATTTTATTTTCCCATACAAACTGCTGATACCTGTCAAAAGATTAGAAATTTTTAAAAATTAGTTTCAATAAATTTCTGAACGCAGGGTGCGTTCAGAATTTTATTGAAACTAATTTCTGAACTTTAAAAAATCCTTTAACATATTTAATTTTGAGGCAGAACAGAAATAAATGTTTTTATGGATTACATTCATTTTGTCAATTACAAATGGCGGCTCGCCCTTCCCTTGTAGCCGTCTAACGGCGTTAGTGATGCCAATTTTTCAGGACGCGAGTTATTTATTTCTATTTCAGTAAGAATGTTGGGTTAAACTGCTATTTCGTGGCACATGGAAGGCTTTATTTATGTACGGAAATATATTTCTGACCGACTTCAAAAACATGTACTGCCTTCATTATTGTATTAACCGTTTTTAGACTAGAAAGTTTTTTTTTACTATTAACACAACGCCATCTTTTTTTTTTTATAACACAGGGGACAAATGAGCATGCGGCTCACCTGATGGTAAGTGATTACCGCCGCCCATGAGCACCCGCAACACCAGGGGAATTGCAAGTACGTTGTCGGCCTTTTAAGCAGAGTTGTACAAATGTGAGAGTACAAATGTTTCTACCTTGCGAGGAACCGAACCCGCGACCTTCGAAAATAAAGCAGTGTGCTAAACCTCTAGACCACCGAGGGCGTCATGTATATTTTATGTTTATGATTTGTTTTATTGTTTATCTTATATGTCTTCTTATGTGTTCGACCCATATTACCAGTTTATCTAAGTCAAGTCTCCCTGTACATTTGCCCCAGAGAACTGTTCTGGGTTGTCTGAGTAGTAAGGTTGTTCTGGTCCATCTGCTTCTTAATATTGTTGTGCTACTCGCCCCGACTTCGCACGGGTGTACATGTATTATATATAAACCTTCCTCTTTAATCACTCTATCTATAAAAAAACCGCTTCTAAATCCGTTGCGTAGTCTTAAAGATTTAAGCATACGTAGATACGGAAAGACAGCGACAGCGACTTTGTTTTATACTATGTAACTAGCTACTCGCCCCGGCTTCGCACGGGTGTACATGTATATAAACCACTTTTGAATCACTCTATCTATTAAAAAAACCGCTTCAAAATCTGTTGTGTAGTTTTACATAGGGACGGACAGACATCGACAGCGACTTTGTTTTATACTATGTAATGATTAATAGACAGTCAATGAAAGAAACAATTTTGCATTAACACAACTAGTGAAGCTTTATAGTAAGACTGAATTTCTTAGGACGTTTTTTTATATTCACTTTAAAAATCAGCATCACAACCAGCCCGCAGCCCGCAAAAATCGACTACACAAATTCTCGCGGTATTCCCAAAAACGGGACAACTTTCCGTCCTAGAGTTCGTTTTGGGGACACCGGGACTCGTAAAGGGACAGTCCCGTTTAAAACGGGACGTCTGGTCACGTTATATATGACGTGGTGAGATGTCGCAATTAAAATTAATTGGACATACCTAGCGTTAAAACCACAAGGTCGTAAGGGTACTATAAACCAAAACACTACACTCGTGTATATAAGGTTTATTGGTTGTTTTCAAATACAGGAACAGGTAAAAAAAAATGTTTTTTTTTCGGACTACTCTAATGCTGTTGGCCGCAGCTGGCCTTTACAGCTTCACCGGACGATAGGGGACGAGTGTAGATGGCACTCCAAACCAAAGGAAGGACTTACAGAGCGGCTGAACGACAACTCCTGCCTGACGGATACGACTTTAGTC